GGGAGCGCCGCCGCGCCTCCCAAGCGGCACACTATCCAGTGCGCCACCGGGCCGGCCCTGTATTTAGGACTTTTACTAGAGAAGTAGATTTCAGGTGCTCTTGCCACATATGAAAAAAAGGTAACTATGTGAGAAGATGGATATGTTAATTTATTTAACTACAGTAACCATTTCGCTCCATATATGTACATCAAAACACCATGTTGTATACCTTAAATATATACATAAAAAAAGCTGATCCTTTCATCAAAGTATCAGTATACTTTGAGAAGGCAGAACTGTATTTCAAGCATCTCTGAAAAATGTCCAACAAAAACTGCTTATGTTTCATGGAAGTGCTTTCTCTTGAAATGTATGATGAATGAGAGAATCTTGTACTAAGAAACATATCACCGACTATAAACTATTGGTGGTACGATGAATCTATTGCCAGCAATCCAGGGCCACCACTGCTAAAACAAAGTGAAGATTAGGAGAGATTATCATATAAAGAGTGACAGACATTGACTTAGCTCCTTGAGAACCTAGAACACATAAAGACAGATGTCTATAGAAAATATTTCTAAAGAGATATAAAATTGTCAGTGAAAGGAATACTATCAAAGGCTGGACTTAAACAAAAATTTCCCCCTAGATACTGGGAAATATTAAGTGTCAAAGCTAAGGCCTATGCTTACATTTATGTCACATTTTTCAAAAAGCTGCTCAAATCTCATACTTCAATGATATTTGTACATAATCTAAAACACTACTGTGGTATTCCCTCACTGATACTTAGAACACAAATGAAGGATGTCTTGTAAATATATTTCTATTTGGAATGCACAGAGACATAATTTACTAAGTTGGTTCTATTCAACAAGCAGGGACTGAATTTTATTCTTCAAAGAGACAATCACAGAGCATGCGACCCAAACAATCTTAGTGTTTCTACAAAAGAAACTGCTTTTATTCAACCTGAGTTAAAACAATGAAGAATCATTACAGTTCATGAGAATCATAATAAATGACTAGTAGACAGACTCATAAAATCAAAGCCATCAACATAGTGAGATCATACACAATTAATTAGTGCTATAATTTAAAATCTTCAAAACTTCAAAACATATCTTTTCATTTCTTTTGGCATACAAAATAATTTACTTATAAAAGTAATATCTATTTATAGAACTCCAACAGAAAGTTTTCAAAATTTAAAAATAAATAAATAGCACAATTTTGTAATTCTGATTTTACAGAGAAAATAAACCTTTTTGGCATGTAATGTTCTATCAAAATGGAAATCTGAATCACTTTGCTTTGCTTTTCACAAGACAAATAAGCATACATACTATCAGACTTGGGAAATCAAATTGGTGACAAGAAAAATTCACCAAAAAATAGAATCACTGGAAAAAACAGGCTCTGGTGCCATCTACTGAGAGGCGATGGTAATACGTCCTTGGATGTTAGCCACACAAAGGTCACACTATAATTTTAGCTTCATGCAACTCTACAGGTACCCGTGTGGACAAGCATGAAAGTTACATGCAAAAATGAAAAAAACTGCTGTTTTAGGACTAAGTAATGTGTGTTCTTTGTTTTTTCTCTTTAAATGACATTTTGCCTTTTCAAGGAAAAGAAAATAAGTAGGTGGTTAAAATGATTCCCAAATGAAAGGGATACTGAAGAGGTGAAGACTTTGGAAAACTGAGAAAATGAAAAGTTCCATGATTAAGAGCAAGTCAGGAAGGG